CCCTCTACACCTAACAGCCCGACTCTCCTCCTAACTCCGCCCTAACTTCCCCACAGCTGCTCCTGCATCTTCACCCAGCAGCCCATGTCTCCCCTTTTCTCTCCCAGCAGCCTCATGAGCCCCTCTCACACCCAGCAGCCCCCCTCTCACACCCTGCAGTAGAGTTGAACGAACCCAGACTGTAAAGTTCGGGTTCGTACCGAACATTAAGTTATTTTAGACCCCGGACCCAAACATGGACATATCAGTGTATGTTCGGGTTGGAGTTCGGTGTTTGGCGATTTAATGGCACGTTTTGAAAGGCTGCAGGGCAGCCAATCAACAAGCGTTTGACTCGTGTGCCCTTAGAAGCCTCTCTATATAAGCTGGAGTCACGTAGCGCCGCATGTCACATGAGCTCTTATTAGTGTAGGGAGAGGATGCTGCCGCTTTCAGGGACAGATTAAGAAAGAATTCTGCAAACAAGTACATTAGTGGGGTGAAATAAAGATCAAAAGAAACTGAAATTTGGGATAAGCAATAAATCTGAGGAAGGAGGAAAAAAAACAAGTAGGGGGCTGCGTCACATAAAGATGAGCGACTAAACTACTAAATAGAATATTAACAAGCAAAGGTATGTGAGCGCTCCAAATGATAAATCATGACCACTTAAACACTGTACTCCAAAACAGCAGCTGCTCAACACAACTAATATAGATCAGATTAATAACTCTGGGATAGTCTAGATTATTGTGTATATATATTTATACAAAGTGTATTTATTAAACATATAAAAACAAATGAAATAATTCAATATGGATACAGTAATGATAAATGTATCACAGCAACAATATGTCCAGATCAAAGTCCAGAAACACACAGCGTGGGGCCCCCAACACTGATACAAAACGTGTACTAATTGGAACTGGAAAATGTGCACATAAAAAGTAAAAGAATGTAAGAAATATATAAAATAAACGATACCCAGACACATACACTATCCCTGGGGGAGGGAACTCTTAAACCTGCCAAACAACCAGGTCTAGGTTAAGGGTGTTGCTGTGAACAATCCCCCCGAGTTAAAGAACTCTGGGGGTAAGCCAAAGCAACTTACCCTGTCCGCCCAACCTTCGTGTGAGGTTAGAGGAGCAAGCCGACTCCCTACCACGAGATAGGATGTGTAAACAGATCCGATCACAGCAGCTGCCGAAAATCAATCCCGGACCGTAGATTAAACCTGGCTGGAAATACAGAGAAGACGGAAAGCAGATCGTCTACGCGTTTCGTCCCCTTTGGAGGACTTTCTCAAGACCAAGATCTGCTATCCTGGGTATATATACCCTACATGTAAAAAAGTGGCCATGATACTTAACCCCTTAACGACGGGTGACGGACCTCGTCCGTCACGCGGTAAAATTAACCCCGGATCGCCGCTATCACGGCGATCGCGGGGTTAATGGTGCTCCCGGTATGCCTCTGCATTAGAGGCATACCGGGAGCACCCGGTCAGTCTGCCCAGCACATGTGCTCGCTCTGACCGCAAGTCTGAGCGAGCACATGTGCTCTCTATACTCACCTACCGGCTCCCTGCACTTCCGGGTTCTGTGTGAAGTGCAGGGAGCCGGATCAGTGCTGATCCTGCCCCCTGCTGTAAAAAAAAATAAAGTTTATTTAAAGTCCCCTCCCTTACCCATTTTAATAAAAAATTAACCCCTTCCCTGCCAATTGATCACTGACTACAGTGATCAATTGGCAGGGATTACATTTTACTATGATCTGATTATTTTTTTTTAACCCCTAGGGGTTAAATTAATTAAATTAATTAATTAAATTATTTTTTGATTATATATTTAGCTAGCTGGGGTAGGTGGAAGTTAGTGGGGAATTGGGGGATTTGGCGTTAGGCTAACTAGGGGTTAACGTTAAAAAAGTTTTAAAAGAAACTTTAAAAAGTTAAAAATTAAGCTTAAAAAATGTTTTAATAACATTTAAGTAAAAAAAACAAAAAAAACACACTTTACCTAGTCCAAATAAAAATTAACCCCTTCCCTGCCAGTCGATCACTGCCTACAGCGATCAAATAGAGATCACAGTATTATACTGTGATCTAATTTTTTTTAACCCCTGAGGATTAACTTTTATTTATTTTTTTTAACCCTCAGGGGTTCAATTTATTTAATTAATTAATTTAAATATTTTATAACTATATATTTTGCTAGCTGGGGTGGGTGGGAGTTATGGGAAAATGGGGAATTTACTGTTAGTGCTGCGTACTGCTAGTTAGGGGTTAACGGTAAAAAAAAAAGCTTAGAAAAATGTTAAATCTGTAAAAAAGTTTTAAGAAAGTTTAGGAAAGTTTAAAAAAAATTTATAAGCAAAACAAAAGTTTAAAAACTAGTTTTTAAAAGTAAAAAAGTTATAAAAAGTAAAAAAATACATTTTAAAAACGCTCATTACCACTACACCTGGAACAAACTAGAGAAAAAATTATCCCACGCCAAGGTTCAAAATATGCCTTTTGAATTACCCCAGGGTGTATTCTTTAATAAATAGTATGTGTTTGTGGGGAAGTTTCAATAACCAACCGTCTAAACTACTCCAAATTGGAACATGGACACAGCGTAAAACTTCAAAGTTAGAAAAAAACTGAATGGCTGCGTCTCAAATGCGCCCCTTCAACATCCACATATACCTGGCAAAGGTACATACGGGGTTATTGCTGTACTCAGCCGACATAGCTGAGCAACATATGAAGTATTATACAGTCATAGCACACATAAGGTTTGCAAAATATGCTGCGCAAACTCACTTTGTATGTCAAAAAGGCAGAAAAAATGCTTATTACCACTACACTTGGTACAAGCTAGCGGAAAAATGATCCCACGCTAAGGTTCAAAATATGCCTTTTGAAATACCCTGGGATGTCTTCTTTAAGAAATGGTATGGCTTTATGGGGAATTTGGATTATATAGCCTGGTAAAATACTCTAAAATGGGACATAGGCACAGCATAAAAATTCAAAGTTTGAAAAAAACTGGAATGGCTGTGTCCCAAATGTGCCCCTCCGATGTCCACACATACCTGGCAAAGGTACATACGGGGTATTGCTGTACTCAGCCGACATAGCTGAGCAACATATGAAGTATTATACAGTCGTAGCACACATAAGGTTTGCAAAATATACTGTGCAAACTCACTTTGTATGTCAAAAAGGCAGAAAAAACGCTTATTACCACTACATCTGGTACAAGCTAGCGGAAAAATGATCCCACGCTAAGGTTCAAACTATACCTTTTGAAACACCCTGGGGTGTCTACTTTAAGAAATGGTAGGCCTTTGTGGGGTAGTTTGAATTTAAAACCTGCGAAGATGCTTGGAAATTGCACATAGGCCCAGCGTCAAAATTCAAAGTTTGGTAAAAACGGATATGGCTTGGTCTCCTATATGGCACTGTGGCTTCACGAAATAGTGCCAAAGACATTCATATGGGGTGTCATTTTACTCAGAAGACTTAGCTAAGCATAATTTGGGGGGTTTGAACTTAGTGGCACATATGAAATATACAAAACGCCCAGCAAAAATGCAATCCGTATGTAAAAAATGCACAAAATTATTTTTTACCACATACTTTGGCATATATTGGTGAAAAAATGGGGGCATGTTAAGGCACAATATGCACCTTATAAGATACCCTGGAGTGTCTACTTTTACAAATGGTAGGCCTTTGTGGGGGTTTTTTGAACAGTCAAACTGTTATAATACCCCAAATGGAAGCTAAGGCTCATTAAATCCATCTCTCAAAATTCTACTGTGAATACTGTAAAGGACAGGTCTCCTATATGGCACTGTAGCTTCACGAAATAGTGACAAAGACATTCATATGGGGTGTCATTTTACTCAGAAGACTTAGCTGAGCATAATTTGGGGGGTTTGAACTTAGTGGCACATATGAAATATACAAAACGCCCAGCAAAAATGCAATCCGTATGTAAAAAATGCACAAAATTATTTTTTACCACATACTTTGGCATATATTGGTGAAAAAATGGGGGCATGTTAAGGCACAATATGCACCTTATAAGATACCCTGGAGTGTCTACTTTTACAAATGGTAGGCCTTTGTGGGGGTTTTTTGAACAGTCAAACTGTTATAATACCCCAAAATGGAAGCTAAGGCTCATTAAATCCATCTCTCAAAATTCTACTGTGAATACTGAAAAGGACAGGTATCCTGTATGGCACTGTAACTTCACGAAATAGTGCAAAAGACATACAATGGGGGTGTCATTTTACTCAGCAGATGTAACTGAACACAAAATAAAACTTTGTACAGGAATAGCACACACCAACTTTACAAAATATACACGAGAATTTCTCTGTTATAAGTTTGTGTGCCAAAAACCAAAAAGAACACAATTTTACTCCAATATTTAGCAGAGGTTGGCGGTGAAATGGCTACGTAGAAAGTGTCAAAACAACCTTAGGTAAATAGCCCGTGATGTCTACTTTATATAAATATATACTTTTGTGTGGCAATTTTGTTTTCTTTTATGGCTATTACGCTTACAAGACAAACATACCAAATTCTAAAATCGCTCCACATTAAAAGTTTATTTTACTCCTTGTGCTTTGTGACCTGTAACTACCAAAAAAAACTTAAAATCCCAGACACATTATATATTCTGTAAATCAGAACAAATAAATAAATTTATTTTTAATTACTTTCCTTAACCTGCACTAATTATGCACACATTATTATTGCAAAAACTGTAAAAAAAAACAATATTTTTCATTTTATTTGCATTTTTCTGTATTTTTTTTATAATAAGTAAGCATTTATATATATATATGTTATATCAAATTAAAGCCCTTTCTGTCCTTTAAAAAACAGTGTATAATATGTGTCGGTGCAATAAATGAGAGAGATGCAAATTGCAGTTGAACGCAAACAGCAAGAAAATGCAAAAATTGCTTGTGTCATTAAGCGTAAGTCAAGCTTCTGAAGCTGTGTCCTTAAGGGGTTAAATTGAGGATAATTTGACATGGGGCAAATAGCCTAATGAGTGCATTTAGAATGCAAATACAAAATGCAATACATGCTAAATAACAACCCCTAAATAATACTAAATGTTACTCCATCATAAAAGATAGGTCTTATAATACAAAACATAAAAATACATTCGACATAAAATTAATAGCCACCATCTAATCGGTGGTATAGCTTTCTCAATTGAGATGATGAGACTGTGAAGATTTCAGGTTAAAATTACCCATATTATATAATTCTTTATATTTTTATACATTCATACGAAATTGACAATAATCAATTGAAAAAAGAGTTTTTGTATGTAAGTGAGGAAAAATCACTATTTACACATTATTAGCCCTAGACAGACAAAAATTCTAAAAGTATAAAAATAAAAGTGGGACTAATGTTGCATATATATACTGTACAGAATTGTGTTGCCAATATATATTGTTTAAATCATATATATCCCATGTCTTATCCTCATAATCAATAAATTTATGGGGAAAATTGGATATAACATCTAATATGACAAGTCACAATTCTTAATATGTCTAGGGATCGATGAGGTAGAAAACTGGGGTAAGGTAACATGACTGTTAAAGAATAAATAAAACCAACTATATAATATGCATGAACCTTCCAGTATACATAAACTAACAGCAACATACTTCACACGTAAAGGAGAGAATCCCCTGGTGGAAACATACTAATAACCACTCACATCCCTTAAACCCCCCACCACTACTAGACCAAATCTTACAGGGACTAAAGATAACACTCAATAAAGTTGGAGGTGTAATATGCTCCAGAGTGGGAGGATGAAAAATCTAAAGCGGAGGGATGGAAAATACAACAAAAAACCTCACTATGATCGTATAAATAATTGTTTAAGGTTTAAATAATATGCTCCAATTCCTCATTTAACCCATAAGGGTTGAGTGTGTTTAGTCGGAAGATCCACCTAGTTTCAGCTGCAATAAGGGCTGATTTTCTAGTATTAGTCTTCTCTGGGATATGTTCAATGCCCATCACTGATAGATGTACTCTCATGGGCCATTTGGAAATGTCTAGCTATCGGGGATTTCCTATCCTGATTGATAATCGCTAACCTATGGTCCCTAAACCTGGTTTTCAATGACCTAGAGGTCTGACCTACATATAGTAGTCCACATGAACACTTCAGCTAACAGACAACATATGAAGTGTTACAGGTGATCCTTGAAAATACTTGGAAGGTCTCATTGTTGGAAGATGACAAAAAAAATCAGATCTACCTTGAGATATGAACTGGCATGTTAAACATCGTTTAGAGCCACACTTGAAATTCCCAGCTCCAAAAGGTACTGATGTATTGTGAGATTCAACTGAGGCAAGTTTAGAAGGAGCCAACAAATTCTTCAGATTTCTGTTTTTCCTGAAAGTGACCCTTGGTGACCCAGCAATACAAAATTTCAGCCAGGGATCCAAAAATAAGATGGGCCAGTGTTTATACTTCATATCTGAGAATCAAATAGAAGCGTCAAATACTGCGGTTACATCGGAGTTTTAAAAAGTCAATTTTTTTTGGGTGCTAAATAGTACATTAGTGGGGTGCTCTTCATATCTGAGAGTCAAATAGAAGCATCAAATAGTGCGCTTACAGGGCAGTTGTAAAAATTCTAATTGTTTTGCTGCTAATCTGCTAAATAGTAAATTTGGGGCCTGCTTTCATATCTGAGAGTCAAATAGAAGCATCAAATAGTGCGCTTACAGCACAGTTGTAAACATTCTAATTGTTTTGCTGCTAAACTGCTAAATAGTACATTTTGGGCATGCTCTTCATATCTGAGAGTCAAATAGAAGCGTCAAATAGTGTGCTTACTGCGCAGTTGTAAAAATTCTAATTGTTTTGCTGCTAAACTGCTAAATAGTACATTTTGGGTCTGCACTTCATATCTGAGAGTCAAATAGAAGCGTCAAATACTGCAGTTACAGCGCAATTGTAAACATTCTTATTTTCTGGGTGCTAATCTGTTAAATAGTACATTAGTGGTGTGCACTTCATATCTGAGAGTCAAATAGAAGCGTCAACTACTGCGGTTACAGCACAGTTGTAAACGTTCTTATTTTCTGGGTGCTAAATAGTACATTTTGGGCGTGCTCTTCATATCTGAAAGTCAAATAGAAGCGTCAAATACTGCGGTTACAGCGCAGTTGTAAACATTCTAATTGTTTTGCTGCTAATCTGCTAAATAGTACATTTTGGGCATGCTCTTCATATCTGAGAGTCAAATAGAAACGTCAAATAGTGTTCTTACAGCGCAGTTGTAAACATTCTAATTGTTTTGCTGCTAAACTGCTAAATAGTCCATTTTGGGTCTGCACTTCATATCTGAGAGTCAAATAGAAGCGTCAAATACTGCAGTTACAGCGCAGTTGTAAACATTCTTATTTTCTGGGTGCTAATCTGTTAAATAGTACATTAGTGGGGTGCACTTCATATCTGAGAGTCAAATAGAAGCGCTAAATAGTGCGGTTACAGCGCAGTTGTAAACATTCTAATTGTTTTGCTGCTAAATATTACATTTTGGGCGTGTTCTTCATATCTGAGAGTCAAACAGAACTGAAAAATACTGTGCTTTCAGCGCACTTTGAAAAATTCAAATAGTTTTGGGTGATAAAAGTACATTTGGGGTATGCACTTCATATCTGGCAGTTAAATAGAACCATCAAATACTGTGGTTATAGCACAGTTTGGCCAATTCAAAAATTTTTGGGTGCTAAATAGTACATTTGCGGCCTGCACTTCATATCTGACAGTCAAACAGAACCGTCAAATACCAATATAACAATATTGTAATTCAGGGGCAATACCCTCACAAGTCAAACTGAGAGGTCTGTTTATAGGTAAAACTGTTGCCTGGATACAATTCTAAAACAATTTCCATATGTCCTTTGCAGACTTTACATGCTGGAAAGACACAGGTGCCAACTGCTGTGGCTTTCTACAGTGTGCAGACAGGCAAGGAGGGCAGGGTTGAGGAGTGGGTGGAAGATGATGTGGAGGATGATGAGGTCCTAGACCCCACACGAGTGACGTGTGCAGTTTGGAGGAAGAGGCGCTGGTCGCACAGAGGCACCAGCACAGCATAAGTGGGAGCAGGGTGCAAAAGCGGAGTGGCCGTCCCATAGTCGGCATTTATTATCTTTAGAATTCCCACAGTTATCCAAGTAACAGATGGAGTGATAAAAGGAAGCATAACAGATTTAACGAGCCATTCGCAATTTCACAGTCAGGAGTGCAGTCCGGTGACCGGGGCCCAGACACTGTCTGGGCGGCAGTCGGATGACCGGGACCCAGTTTGCGTGATGTTGAAGTTAGGAGTCACAGTGTGGAATGGATTAGCAGGGTCTGGTGCAGGGTATCCGCACGTCCCTGGTATTGAGCACCAGCGTTTGTGCGGCCACATACAAGGACCCTGATGTAGCTTCAGTAAAAAGAGTACTGGATACCAGAAGCCATCACCAGACTGATCCGCAACTTGGAACAGGATGTGACATTCACTGTAGCGGCTATGTGCGCTTTCGGTGTTCTCATCCTGCTGCTGCTCGCCTGTCTGCGCTGCAGCGTAACTTCGGCCTTTCAGCTCACCGCCTCATGAGACTGTGCGAGCAACAGCAGGCGATAGTGGAGTTTCAGCTGTCACTCTGCTGTCACTCTGCGGAACAGAGTTGTCTTTTTTTATATGTCCCAATATTTTGGGGGCTACCCCAATTAAAAAAAATATATATATATATATATATATAAAAAACAGTGTTGGCTATCTCCTCCTCCACTGCTGCTTCCACCTACACAACCACGGTCACCACCTCCTCAACCCATGGGTCACTTAGTATAAACTATGTACACAATAGCAGAGGCTTGTGAAGGCCTTTTTTCCATGCACCAGTAGTTGAGCATTTCTCCATGCATCAGGACTGCAAGAAATGCACCGCAGGCCGCAAATGTTTCTTTTTTTATATATGATACAATATTTTGGGGGCTACCCCAATTAAAAAATATATATATATATATAAAAAACAGTGTTGGCTACCTCCTCCTCCACTGCTGCTTCCACCTACACCACCACAGTCATCGCCTCCTCAACCTATGGGTCACGTAGTATAAACTATGTACACAATAGCAGAGGCTTGTGAAGGCCTTTTCTCCATGCATCAGGAGTTGAGCTCAGTTTGAACAATGAAAGAGAATACCCTGCACTCCAACCCTCTCTCAAATGGATAATTCTGTTGATCCTCCTGACAGCCATGCTTTAGATTTTGATTTATATTCTTCCAAAGCTAAAATCAAAGATTCCATCTAGTGCTATTTTATGTCTCAGCTGTATTTTTAATTTTTATGTTATTTTAAGTGATTTCCCTATCCACATTTGTTTGCAGCGCACTTGTCCTACTCTTAACCTCATTTTACTTCCTTTTGCAGCCCTCTAGCACTTTCCAGGACTTTTTAAGAGGCATTTTTGTGCCCAAAAGTTCGGGTCCCCATTGACTTCAATAGGGTTCGGGTTCAGGGTCAAGTTCGGGGTCAAGTTCGAGCCTGAACCAGGACTTTTTTTCAAAGTTCGGCCGAACCCGCCGGACCCGAACATCCAGGTGTCCGCTCAACTCTACCCTGCAGCCCTATCACACCCAGCAGTTCCATGACCCCATCTCACACCCTGTAGCCCCATGTCCTCCCTCTCACATCCTGTAGCCCCTCTCACAGCCCTATGTCCCCTTCTCACACTCTGCAGTCCAATGTCTCCCTTCCACACTCTAGATCTCCTATCCCCCCTCTCATACAACATCCCCTATTCTACACATTGGCTATCCTGGGGGTACTAAACAGATATACCCACTTTGGAGAGGCATGCATGTCACTGGTGAGGACCCAACATGCACCCTCTCAAGCTTCTTTCCTCCTAGGGCTGCTCTGCCTTTAAATGCACAGGCTGAATTTTTGTACCAGTCCAGCCCTACTTTTAGGTACAGGAGGGTGACTTTCCCTGGGGTCCAGTGGTGGCTCAGGTTGATGGAAGTCAGAGTTTCCACTCTGACTCCCTCCTCTCTTCCTCCTGCGTGGCTCCCGGTGGTTGCTGGGAGGAAGTTACCGGGGCAGTCTCTTCCTCCCAGTGTCTGATCTCATCACAGGGGCCCTGGTCACACTGTAAAAGAT